TTTTTACTATTTCACTAATTCTTCTTATTTTATCCATCATGTAAATTTCCAGTGGTTTTCCAGATCCCTTCAATACAGCAGCCCCAGTGCAAACTGAAGGTTTAGAGTCTAGTTCGAATGTTAGCGTTCATATGCTAGAACCCCAGCTGATGTAAACTGGCATACCATCATAGATTTCAGATGACACCTCTCCCCAGCTGAGGATGTGGCTTCACTAATTCTTCTTATTTTATCCATCATGTAAATTTCCAGTGGTTTTCCAGATCCCTTCAATACAGCAGCCCCAGTGCAAACTGAAGGTTTAGAGTCTAGTTCGAATGTTAGCGTTCATATGCTAGAACCCCAGCTGATGTAAACTGGCATACCATCATAGATTTCAGATGACACCTCTCCCCAGCTGAGGATGTGGCCCAGGGAAAGTTTCTGCATTTCCAGGTGACAACTATATGGGGGAAAGTTTGCCTTTATAAATAATAATAAATATAAAGCTTATATCTCCTTAGAGACAAATTATCTACCAGTTCTCTTTCAAAATAAGGAAAAGGAAAAACGGCTGCAAGGGTGCAAAGGGCCTGAAAGCAAAGGAAGAAAAACAAGGGAAATTGCTTTCCAAAATTCTAATCAAAAGAATAGACTAGTCATTTTTCAAACAAATTAGCTAATTGCAATGAACCGGCAGTCTTCAAATGACTAACAAGTTCATCTTTCTTTCACCATAGGGGTTATAGTTCCTTGGCTTGTGCTTCTCTGAAATCGTTTTACTGTTTCTGTTTTTATTATCTTAAGTGCTAATTAACAAAAGGAAAAAACCTGTAGTTTCATTACCTTTTGGATAATGTCATACAAAACAAAAAACAAAAAAAAACTATGTACTTGTGTTTTGTTTCGGGTTTTGTTTTTTTGGCTTTTTTTTTCCGTGCTGTGAGAATTGTTGTTTGTAGATTAATAATACTATTTTGTTTAGAATTACAAACTAATTTTTAAGTATTGTCTGAGAAAAGCCAAAGTTAATGCAACTTAGTGGAAACTGTAAGAGCATTTGAGTATTGTTTCTGTTTTATTGATGCATTTGGATTTTGTTGTTTGATGGAATTTGAGCCAAAAAAAAAAAAAGCAGGCTTTCCTATTTCTACAACTTGATTGTACTTATGCATTTTGTACCAGTGGAACTTTTTATACTGGAGATTAAAAAACAAATGGAATTTTTTGTGGCTTACTCTTGTGGGCCCCCCTGACCATGACTGATTTTCGAGTTTGATTTCTGGTTGGTAGAAAGAAAGTTGGTTTTGTTTAGAGAATTAAAAACTTTGGCTTGATATCTTTTTTTCCCTTTGCTTATATCTAGTATTTAGAATTTTGTCTTTAAAACAAAAACAAGCGGTAAGTTTCACTTTTTATTCTGTATTGTGCAGTTACACAATAAGATAACTAGAATTAGGAGTACTTGGTCACTTTACGTGGATAAATGTATTAGTTACAACTTTAGGGGTTTGCTTTTTTGCTGTTTAAATCAAAGTTTTTTCTGATTCTTCTGTCCTCATTGTGAACATAACCGTGTAGTTGAAATAGTCAGACTTATTTTTGTAATGTATGTTATTGTGTGATGCAGTTTTTTGCTTCTGTCTCCAATATTAAACCATTTTCCTAATACTTGTCTCTCTCTTCGTGTGTTGTATTGTTGGTGGTCATTATGTGTTGGTAATACATCTGCGCACCTCACTGTTTCACGTCCCTGTTTTTTTTTTCCTATTTGTTGTGTACAAAGATACAGTCGATTCCACCTAAGTGAATATCTGATTCGGGGGGGTGAAAGAGGACTTGCACATTTTAGCTGCCTTTGGTTTATGTTATATTTTTCCTCTCCCCTAGTGATTTTATCACTTTGATCATCTGAGCAGGAGATCATTTTAAATGACTGCCTGCAAAGTCGTAGTAAAGGTTGCTTTTGTTAGTCTTCTGACCTCAAAAGTTGATACATGTAAACACATGAAAATAGAGAAATTTGAGACTACATGAAAGTTTTTGCTTTGCTATTTCAATCGGAGGTCAATTCAAGTGATATTTATTTTTTTAAATGGCTTTGCCACCTGCTTTGCAGAGGCATCTGAAACATACAAGAAAAGGAGGATATAGCCATGGGATTTCTTCCAAACTGTATAGTAATCTGGTGGCATATGTTGTTCATCAAAGACTCCTTAAAAACTAATCACAGTTTAACTAGAGCTATTACAGTCTGAGAAAAATCTACCAGGTGAACAAGCTTGTTTTTTATATATAACAACCTAGGCAGTGCTTGTAACTATTGAAGCCAATAGAAGTAAAACATTTTCCCCCAAGTGCGAAAATGGGCTTATTTTTTTTTCGGTTGGGTGCTTGCAACATGGATCTTTCTCAGCACTGCATATTAAAATGTCAAATCTCTGTGCAAAAAGAAATATGATAGCAGTTGGGTGCAGGGAATGTCTCCACTGTCCCTTGGACTGGTATCCAGTAAAATCTGCAAAGGAAAATAAATGTAGTTATGGGTCACAAAGTCTCTCTCCACTCTTTTTGTCTGATCACAGACATAACACGTTGAGATTTGGAAAGTAAAATAATCCCTCAGGATGGGAAAAAAGCACTCCCAAGTGTTCTCTGGAACTCAAGCCATATCCCCCATCCCCTTCCCTTTGTCCCACTCTCTCTTTCTCTGATGCTCAGGAATCAAAGACCACTTAAAAGTGCTCTTATGAGACCCAAACCACACTTCTCCCTGTGTATCCTGTTTTCTGGTCTCTCCGATGCTCTGACTTTGGCTCACACGTGCAACCACGCCCTAAACTAGCATCCTGTTCGGAAGGTCATGGCGCACTGTTTCCTTAAGGTTTTGACAGCTATGTTGGCTCCTGTGGTTGGAACAGTTTTGAAATTTTCTGGCTTAGGCATTGGCCTCATTTTGCTTTTAATTTATTTATCTCTCTCTTTTTCTCTCTCTCTCTGTGAGCATAAAAGGCAAGTGGGGCATGATTTCTAGAACCCCTCACATGCTTAAGTCATCATCTACAGGCTTCACTGTCAGAGTTCAGACTTCTAACAAACATGCAGCTCTGATTTTAATCTAAGATTACAGGAGCTTGTAGGGGACAATCCAGCACTGGGAGCAGAAGGATGGTCTATGAGTCTATGGTGCTGATTCTGATAATAATTGGGGCCTATGTTTTTAAGTCCTTATAGGTGCGGGAGGGTTTGGAGTTTTTTTGCTCTTGTTTTTGAAACTTCTCAGTTGGTAGGAAAGATCGAGCTGACTTCAAGTTCTTTCTTCTAAACACAAGTATAT